CCCCCCGTCCCAGCCAGTTCTCAGGTCAGTTCTGCCTCTTTATTATCTCGCCATCTCTCCTCTTGTCCCCATTCCTGCTGTAGGAAGGACTGCTTGTCACCCACTTGGATTCCTACAGTGGCTTCCTAACAGATGCCTTGGTCTCCAGCCTGGCCCCCCTTTCTAATTCCCTGGTTGCCTTCTGGTCGTTGCAGGCGCAGGTCTCATCACGTTGCTCTTTGCTCCGAGTCCCCCAGCCCCCTCCCCGCCCCTTTCAGGTAAAGAGCAAACTTCTCATTGTCCGAAGGGTCCTTCACTAGCCGCCCTTCTAGCCTCTCCAGCAGCTGCGTGAGCCTGCTGGCCGCCGCAGTCCTCTGGCTTCCTGTAGCATCTCCCACCCCTCACCCCAACATTCACCAGACTAGCTCCTAACCAACTCAGGTTTTGGGGTTTCTTGGTCTTTTGGGCCGGCCAACAGGAAATTCTAAAACGTGTTTTTGCTTCTCATTCTGTGGCATTCCTGTTGCAGTGTTCATGAGAAGCTACTCTCCTATCATAACAAGCTGCTGATGACTGTGCATTCAGTTGGTTAACTAATCATCATTAACCTTCCCCCCCCCCATGGGCACACCAAACATGGCAGCCAGAGCCTTGGGCAGTAACGCTGCGCAGGACATAGCTTCTGCCCTTGCGGAATCGCAGTCCCCCTTTCCTAGGGCAGGTGGGCAAGACCTCACAGATGGGACAATGCTTTGAATGCCACCATGAAATACTAGGAGGATTTGCCAGGTAGAGGAAGAGAAGAAGAGAAACAGTGTATTTTTGCAGACACCGGCCTTAATGTGTTTATTTCGCTTGCTTACAAACGTGGCTGTGGGACCCTCTCACCACGAGCAAGGCCTTAACGGGAGCTAGAGAGAGAGGTACTGGTTAGTTTTCACTCGACACAATTCCTCATTTCATAGTTGGGGTGGGATTGTGGCGTTGGTGTATATTGACTGCCTGAGGTTTTCTCTTTCCTCTGAAAATGGTCACAGGCCATTTTCTAAGTCCATAAGGGGTGTCCTATCCAAGTTTCAATCATCAACATCACCGCTCTTTCAAACTTGGCCGAGCCTGGCACCCTCACTGTGGGGAGCTTGATTTTTGTGCAGACTGAAACACACGTTAACATTCGGTGCTGGTGGTTTTGTTTGGGGTGTTTGGACGTATTTACAGTTTTGCTTAGGAAAGCATGTTTCTGAGCTGTGACAGGAAACTGTGAATTCGCTGGGAGACAGGCCTTTAGAACATTGGCAGGGTTCTCGTGTTCACGGGGAGCTCTAGTTAAATATCTTCAGGGTTTGTCTGTGGGTGGAACACGTATGTTCATATAATTGATTACACATTAATACAAATGATAACAAGTTAACAGCTGTGGACGCTTTTCCAGTGGCAGTGCTAGCATAAAAAAACACGCTCCATTAAACTGCTGTTTCGTTGGATCCTACTTAAGCAAAAATAAACAGTTTACTTTAAAAATGAAAAACATTTCATTTAAACTGGCTGCAGAAGTAAATGACAGTGGTCTTCTGCCACCCCCACCTCAGCACCCCCTTCCACTCTCATCCTTAGCTCGTTTGGCTTTGCTCTTTTTCAACTGTAAGGATCATAATTGCATTATTCTAAACTCTTGTATGTCACTCATTATGTGTGAGTAACACTGAGTGTTTCATGGGCATCTGGTTATTCATGACTTCCAGTAGCTCCAGTGGCATCACTGTCACCCTTCTGTGTTACAAATGAGGGACTAAAACACAGAGGGTTATAAACATGTCCCAGGTCACTGTTAGTAGCCAAGGGTTCTGGGGGATGAATCCAGTGTCGTCACAGGGATGGTCAGTCCCCTTAAATATGGTGCTACCTGTCACATGTGCTAGCTGGTATATATGCTTTCTAGTCACAGTGTTATAGCAAGGGTTCAGTTTGAGGACACAGGGGGACCCCACGCACTCCAAGGGCACCTCATCTTAAACTGGAAGTGACAACCTGGGCCACTTTGCAGATTCTGGTTGACTCGATTTTACTTGTTCTGTCCATCTAGAAAATAATGGTGCCGAGTTATTGGAGACGCTTCTTGACCTAAAACCTCTTCATTCTTCTACATGTCTGTAAATCGGAGGGTTGTGTTTTCAGGTGCCATGACATGGGTAAGAGTCATGGAGTCATTTTTCATTTTGTGTTTTCTGATGGTGTAAAGATCAAAACGAGGCCAAAAGGGGATTTGAAACATCCTTAGGTCATTCCACTTCTGCGTGAAGAAAATGCATTTTAGGATACATGCATGTGCAAAAAAAAGTGACTTTTGTGTGTGTGTGTGTGTGTGTGTGTGTGTGTGTGTGTGTGTGACCGAGAAAGCCTATCAGAAACGTGTCACCTCTGAAATATGTAAAACCTTTTACAAATGGCAATGAGCTAAACCTTGGTAGCGTGACGGTCCCTGAGAGCGTGAGTTCTTGAAAGATGACGCCCACAGTTAGACAAAGACACGAAGCTGTGTTTGAATGCAAAACCGTGTGAGTTACAGAGAATCTGGGATGCTGGGGGCCGGCACACACTCTGCCAAAGCAGCATTTAGCACAGATGTGGGTCACTGGCAAATGTTAGCAGATACTACAGAAACGGTTGAGGAAACTACATGGTGAATACTGGCTTGTGAAATCGGCCTGATTGAGCAGAAATCAATGTTGAAGGGCCAACAGAGATCATTTAGTTCGACACTGTTTTGTTTTTTAAAACATTAAAAAAACCATTGGAGGCTCTGAGAGATAGAGTGGACAATGGGACGTTAGAGAGCTTGGGGCACAGTCAGGACTAGACAAGCCCTCCCAGACACCTAGTCTCCATTGCAGTCTTCTGGGCCCTCTACTGATTTTGGTGTTTCTATAGTATGTAAAGCCAAAAAAATCATCCTGTCTCCTGTGTAGTCTGAGGGACACCTCTCAGTTCTATGGGACAGAGTAATGGAACTCTCCAGTTCTCTGGTAAATGAGCAAATCCATCACATAAAACCAACAAACTACCCTATTGGTTTTTCTCGAAGTTGGGAACATCGAGAAACACATGGAGTTAAACTTTTCTCTCATTTACCGAATGTGAATGTAAAATCGAGTATTTCTGAGATTTTAAAGTACGTGGTAAAAATATTAACTGTGTTGAAGGGAAACCCAACCAATCTAAGTCTAGGGGAATCTAAAACAATGATCAGTTAGAATCACTTCCGTTTGTGTTGGGAACGGGATATATGAATCGCTTGGGCACAATTAGAAGTTACTAATTAAATTTTGCTTGGAGTGGAGTTAAAATTTGTATATGTTACTGGAAAACCAGAGCAAATCAGTGACGTAATAAAGGACCTTTTTGAGGAAGCAGCATCGTACGTAAGGAAGACGGGAGACACTGTCGTCATATGCCTGACTTGAAGCTGGGTGCCACCACTGCCGCTCCAGCCACTGTCCCCCATTTTGTAGATGGGGATGTACATACTGGCCTCCACAGTGGGATTGAGGTAACACACACGTCACATGTACAGTGCCTGGTACTTAACCAGGATTTAGCTGTTACCGTCTAGGCGCCTGGGTTAATGGCACACTGTTTTAGTTTGGGGGCTGCTGTAACAAAGCACCATAGAGAGGGGCTTACCAATAGTTGCAGTTTATTTTTCACAGTCCTGGAGGCTGGGCGTCCGAGGTCAAGGTGCTGGCATGGTCAGCTCCGGTGAGAGCCCTCTTCTGGGTTGCAGATGACCGCCTTCTCCTTATACCCTCACAGGCTGGACAGGGCGGGAGCTGGCTGGCCAGTCTTTCCGTCATGGCTCTAACCCCATTCACCAGGGCTCCACCCTCACGACTTAATTACCTCCCAAGGGCCCCACACGGAAACACCAGGACACCAGGGATTAGACTTCAATGTATGAATTTTGAAGGGACCCAAGCATTCAGTTCACAACACATAGTGACCTGCTATGTCTCTGGGAGGTGGTCGGGTTTTTTTGTTTGTTTTTTGCCTAAACACCTATATTAGTAGCTCTGGATCATTTATTTTTTTTGTATTAAAAATTATACTTAAAAGAGAAGGCTATCTGGTTAGATGAGGTTAGACAGAGAGGATAATTATGTAACCAATTTCTTTCTATCTTATCTAGCTAGCTATCTACCTATTATCTACTCATCCACCCATCCAATTTCTCTTTCTATCTATGAAGCTCTTAGCATGCTTCTTTGAACTAGCAGTGGCATCTTACTGGTCCCATTGACTAATGAATTAAATGAAATCTTGGACGTCTTTTCACTTACTACCTGTAGGGGAGTCATGATTATATCCTCCTTTAAAAATGATCTTTGTAACAACTGCAACTAAGAACACATTTTTAAACTTGATAAAAAGAGAAGAAACTAAAATTAAAAAAAAAAAAACTCACACACCCACAAAAAGTTATCGGGCCCATGTTTCTGTCAAGTGTCAGAAAATGTTACTCTTTTCTTGACTTCAAGTTCAATGACAAGGTCATTTAACCTGTTGCCAGAAAGGGGCTAATGACTTTTTATTTGTTTACTTCTAAATTCAGTGCTAATGTGTGAATTATGTCACACTGCAATCTGTAGATGTCTAGTAAATTTAGGATTTACCTTTCAGGTTTCTCAGTGGAAACATGAAGCCACAGGAACCAGGTGGTTCACACACACATCCTTTATTGAGCAGTAGGGGCACATTTAGTTGGTGGCTCTGTAGTTCAGGTGGATTTCTGGTTTCACGTCACAGACCATGTTCAAAACTTGTGCTAATACACTTTCCATGTACTTGTTGTAGCTTCCGTGCAGTTCTTTGATCTTCTCCAGGGTCTGTTCTTCTATTTCTTCCGAAAGATTACTCTGAGAGCCCATTATCTACCAAAATATAACACACGGAATTCACTGCACTAGACATCATGTTAAACTTGCATTGTTTTATAAGTGAAATTTGGCCTACTTATCTATGATTGTTCGACGGTGTACACATTATGTATTTTTCCAGAATTTTCTCAGAATGGATAAGATTCCCCATTATCATGAGTGGGATGGATAAAGTTTCCTAAAAAATGGAAGTTGCCAGGGCAGGTTGCTTCTACTTGTAAGCTGACCTCTGCACCCCACAAACCATATGCAAGTTCACATTGTACCATGCTTAGATGTCTTTTCATCACGTTTTCATATATTTATAAGTTTCTACTCACATTTTGTCTTTCCTATTGCTTGCTTTCTCAATTAAAAGTTGAAAGACATCATTGAACCCATTTTTGCTGGCTTTTAAATAGCCAGTAACTGGTTGGTCAATTTTTAAAATACATTGTCTGAATTGATTAGATCCTGTTTTTCTAGGAAGAGCCTGAAATATGCCCAGTAAGAGACTTTCACAGGCATAGACACTTCTTTAAGCCATGTAGGACTTGAAGCGAATGAATGTAAGCTCCACAGAAGCTGGGGACGTGTCACTTGTCCCCTGGTGAATCGTAAGGACTTCACACGTTGCCTGGTGTAAAGGAGCAGCTCAGTACGTGTTTGCTGAACTAAAGATGACAAGAGATCTTGAGGCATCTCATTACCTGGGTTCCGTTGCTCTTGCTGGCAGAAGCCTGCTGTCCTGACACTTTGGGACACAATATAAATTAGAAGTTGATAATTATGTGATGGGCAATGGTAGATTTGGTTCAAGGGTGCCATGAAAGGACTTCTCCATTTAAATTTTCAAAATTTCGGTGTTGAGGCTGATGGGTGTAACTTTCCAGCGTAAGGACCGAGGGTGTTGGGGACATCTTTCAACACTCCATAGATTTCTAAGTTGTTCAAATGTCCCAATTTAAGGGCAAGCAGAGGTTCAGGGCCCCCACCCTGCTCTGCATTCTCAATCTGGGCTTGTTTCAAGGAAACAAAATGCTTTCATGATATGAATTCAGGAAGAAAGGTGAAAGATATACAAATCTTCCATATGCCCAAAGCCACCATTTTCAGGTCTCCCATTTAGATCCACAGTCCATCTAACTTTTACTGCATTAACAATAGATTTAATGTTCCAGATTTCTTTTTAGCCACGTAATACCTTCTTCAGTAGATGTTATGTTGGATAGAAAGGATAAGCAAGGGAAAAGTAAATTATTGATCCACAATATTTGTGGATATACAACCCACATTAGGATATTGATGGGGGGACTTGGAAAAAAAATGCATTAGCAAGAGGTAAAGGGCAACAGAAAAAAGGGCTATCGAAGTGGAACGCCCCCAGCAGGCAGAAAACCAGCTTCTCGCAGCTCCTCCCAGGCCCCCTGCTTGCCCTGGATAAACGATGATGAGGCTGAAAAGCAGTGTGTCCGACGCTTGGAGGTCCGCGCAGGGGACGGGCTGGGCTGACGGTGTTACAATATGCTGGAGGTGGCTGAGACCCAAGCTCGCTGACCTTCCTGTGTGCGCCTTTGATCAACTCGCTGTAAACCCGGCTCGGAGCTCTAATTAGAAGAGCAATGAATGAGAACTTGTAATTATCCTCCCAAGCAGAGAACAAACATCTCGAGCCAGATTTGCACTCTGAAATTCTCCTGGAGAAATCATATTTCGAGATTTCACCCTAACCGCGTTCTGCACTGATGGTCAGTTTTCTTAGGACTTGGAACCAGTAGTATAGGTCTCAGAAATCTCCTACACAGGATGATAAAAGCTGAGTAAGGGTGATTGTTTTCTCAGGTCCTAAGAGTAATGGTTATGACAGGACTTAACAGGAAGGATAAAGGCACAGAAGAAATGTTTATTCCTTCTTTCGCTGAATATTTATTGTGTACTTGCTATGGACAGACGCTAATCCAATATTGAGGAAAACAGCAGACAATAAAACAAAAGACCTGCCATTTTGATGCTTACAGCCCAGAAGGAAAAATAGACCATAAGCATAAAATGTAAATATGTACTATATCCAGTAGTGATACATGCTAGGGCTGTAATGGGGGCATTCGTTCCTCTTTTATGAGCGATGCGATTTTAGATGAGGTGATCAGGAAGGGGAACTGACAGTGGAACAGAGAGAAAGGAAAGATGAACAAGTGTGAAAGACGAGGCTCCCAGGGAGCAGACACAGCACATGCGAAGGCCGCGGGGTGGTGGCATGTGCAGGCTGTGTGGGGAAGAACAGGAAGACAGATGTGGTTAGAACAGAACACGCAAAGACACAGGTAGGCGAAGATGCTACAAATGACCACGGTGACACTGTTGCAAATTGCTGAAAAGTCTTCCGCGTGTTGCCTTATGATTTTCTTTTCAACTGACTGGCTTCATGCAATGAATCTTTCATGAAAGTATAAAGACATGATTTTTCCTACACTAGCATTTAAAAACTGTCTCCAGTCTTATAGTAAAAGGTAAGTGCATGACATTTTCAGAGCCAACAGGTGAGAGAGAGAGCCAAGGGCCAGTCCTGAGGGCTGGCTACCCATGGATGGACTTAGGATTTTCTGATTCCTCTTTACAAATATTAATGAGAAGAATTTATTTTTGTTGAGTGGTTCCCTTGATTCTAAGAAGGACTTTTTATTTTAAGAAACAGCCCCCCCCCCCCCGAAAAGGTTTTCCTGCTCTGGGATGCAATTTACCTGATCTTACACAAGCCCCACATCTTCTCCCACCAAAACCAAAGTTTTAACGGAGAGATTTTCCAGCTGCTAGGAGTTTGTCTTGCAAAGTCCGGCTCCTGCACAGAGCCTTCTTTATAGTTTTACTGAGGCTGAAAGAAAATGTCATATAAACTTTAGTTATGGTACATGAAATTTCATAATTTTCTTTTAGTGCATGTTGCAACACAAAAAAGGAGGGTGTTGGTTCTGAAAACTTCACGCATTTATTTTTTATCATCAACAGATATTTTTTAAATGCTAGTGTAGGAAAAGCATTTCTTTATACTTTCATGAAAGATTTGTTGAATGACCCCAGCCAGCTGAAAGGAAATCATAAAGAAATAGCAGAAGACTTTTCAGCAATTTGCAACAATATCTACTTTGGTTATTTGTAAACCTCGAAATTACCAAAGGAAATTTGGCCCAACAAACTCATTCTACAACATTGTACAACACTTCTTATTGATTCTAGCAAAGATTCATGGACAAAAACTATGTTTTCTGAAGTTTTTTCTTACTGAAATGTTTGTGAATAATCAGTGGAGGGAATAATACTTTAGCTAATCCCTTCAATTTGTGTATTTGAGAATATGATTTTAATATTATATATATATATATATGAGATAATAACAATTGATTGACACTTTAGATGACAAATCAAAAAGCCTTGACATGGAAAGTGAAAAATCAGCAATTCAGTAATGTTTAAGATTTAGTTAGATGTTCAGTCTTGGTTGAACTATATCCACTCAATCCAGTGTATTTTCTGTGTTGTCCTTATGAATATTAATATCTTATAAGCTATACTGCATGAAAGCCAGGGCTGACTTTCTTACTTACCTTAGATTGTTTCATTCGAAACTCCTTATCTCTCTGCATCCGGTATTGGTCAATTTCCACCATTGCCTCATCCTTCGCTTGCTTTATTCGCTTCACTTTTCCTGAAAATGAACAGTGGCATAGAAGGAACACTATTATTTTTTAATACACATGGTGCATACAGCTGGATTTTTAAACATACAAGGTGAGGGCTACATTATTTTCTGATAAACTTTTTTCTAGAATGGCAAGCCTTACTACAAAAATGATATTGCAAAATTCCTTCTTTTTTTTTTTTAATGGGATTCTTTTGGAACATGGAAATGACAACGTTCCTTCACACTTACATGTTTAAATAAAATATCTGCCCACTTACTCACAGCAGTTAATGGCCAGAGAACAGATTTTCGCTGTCACTTACTCGAAAAGACATTATTTGGTCAGGTTTTCTGTCCTGATTTGCTGCCAGGAATCCCTCAGTCCACACCAACTGGATCCGATTAACACTGGCGGAGATCCAAACCCCACAAACACGCAACTCAGCCTCTATCAAACTGACTTACAATTTTTAAAAGCATTTTATTGGGATTTTTTTCCTTGCCATTTCTGGACTCGAGCATGTCTGATTAAGCCCCACAGCACATCAAAGTAGATATTTTTTTTTTCCTAGTAGCTTTCTCTGAGGGGGACTTGAAAGTGGTTGTAAAAGCAATTGTTTTTAATGGCTAGGAGCTTAGTTAAGTAGCTCTTTTCTTTTATTAAGAGCAAAGGTGTAAGCCTTAAGCCAGCAGACAGCGATGGAGATGAAAGTTTCAGGCAAATACAGTGCTGCGGGGATCATTAGCTCAGCACATGACTTTTTTGACAACCAGAGGAAGTTTTGGCGGTTATAGACTAATATTAATTGCTGCTATGCCCCCGCTACCTATCACCTTCTGAGGGGCTGGGTACTAATACTCCGTGATCATTAAAACTTTAAAGCAACTATGTGTCTATTGTCTTTCCATGTCAGTTAAACACCTTCATTCTTCTAATTTCACATATTTTCTTTCCTCTGCTACAGCGTCTCAAGCTTTTGTTTCTAATTGTGGCCAAGGGGTTTTGTTAGATTGTGTAGACTTTGAACTAAATGACCGTGTTCTGGTTAAGTAGCATAAAAGCAAATCTTAACATACATTTTTATCTGTCACCTGGATACATGTTTTCATGTGCCTTTGTTTTTAGGCACCTTTGTGGTAGCATGTGTGTGTAGATGGTTTTTAAATTTCTCTTGTTGGGCATGAGTTGCTTTGCTAGTCACTATATGTGCACGCGTGTGCGCGCGTGCACACACACACACACACACACTCACACACTCACACACACAGAACATACATTGAAATGTGTCTTTTCATTAACGCCTATTACCCTTGACTGGGACCCAGTAGATCTATTCAGAACGGTTATCTACCTCTGTCCTCCTCTTTAGAATCCCAGGCCCGCTAAAAATGACTGTTCTTATGAAGCCTGAGGTTTCGGGACTAGTAACCGCCATGCTTACCTTTTCCCTGCCTCGTTAACACTCATTACCATTTTGTATACACAGATTCCTTTATTCTCGACAGTCATGATCACTGTGTGACAGCCAAGCATACCGTTCACTGAAAGCATAGGTGGCACGTTGGTGGGAAAACCTGTTTTTTGATCCCAGCCCACTGTCTTATCACTGCTCGTCATTAACACCAGGACAAAACTATATTTAAGATGTAGTCACATTTTCTTAGTAATGATAAGTTGTAGGGATGCAGAGCGGTTGTATGAAAATAAACCACGTAAAATTTCATTCCTCCCCATCTTAAGTCCATAATACGTAAACATTTTGGTTTCAAAGTCACGACTCTAGCCCATAAAAAGAAATAATAATCATAGTAACAGGGAGAGGTCTGCACGGCCTACCCCTGAGCAGAATCCAGCACTCCACTTAAGAGGTTGTATATTAGCCCGTCACACGGTGACAGGCTCTGAGTGTGTCTGTGATCCCCCCGTCGTGGCACCAGTCACCTGCTGGTTCTCATTCAATTAAGTAGGAGAGCCGCAGGGAGACCGCTGCCGGCACAGCCGTTTTCTGGCTAGACTCGGCAGCTGCCTGGGGGAGAGCTGCGGCAGCCATCCCTGATTTAATCCAGCGGGGGACGTTGGAGCCTAACGCCCGCCGTTTCATTAGAGGTGGACCAAAAGGCACGCATCCAATCCACTCAGCGTCACCTCCGGCTTGCTGCGCCATCTGTGCGCCAAGATCTCCAAATCTGAAAACTAGACCTCTTTCTGCTTACGCATGAAAAACATGGCTACTGTGAACCCAAAGGGGTCCATCGCCTTCTTTCTCAGTGCCTTCTGTATCCCACGGAGAGCTGACCACATGGGACACTCAAATATTTGGTCCCCACGTTCCTACAAGATCAGACAGGCTTCTCAGGCCAAGTGTCCCGATTTCCATTTTAGAAAACGTGGTTACCTTAGGCATCTTGATTTTTAAATGCTGCCAAACCAGGTCCTGCAGGGCCGTGCTGGGAAGGATGATTTTCACTTATTCATCCCTCACTCATTCAGTATTTATTAGATGCCTACTGTATATTATGCAGAGGGCTGGGAGGAGAGGATAGAGAAACACATGTGATGAGCTGCTGGCCATCCGTGGTGTAAATAAAGTGCCCTTTGGAAGTACGTCCGTGCTGCTCCTGCTTCCAAGAGGAAGTTTGTCAAACACATAGAATTGTGACGAAGGCACAAAATCAACCACGACAACAATGCAGCACAAATCTTGATTCTGCTTATTCTGTAACTGTGGGACATCATCACCTTTACAGACACGTCTTCTAAAATCCTGGAGAATCTGTGCTTTCTCTCCACCCCAATAGTCATGTCTTATGTGAAGAGTATGTCAACAGTGGAAAGAAACAGGCCCAGGCACGCAGACGGGGATGCAGGGATGGCTGTGAGCGGCGGTCGGGAAAGGTTTCAGAGGACGGAGCCAGTCAGCCCAATAGACTGATGAGCCAGGACATAAACGGGGATGGATAGTCTGTTTTGGGGGCTACAAAATGGCAAGAAAATCCCGTCTAAGATATGTTGGGGGACTCTTTGTAAGTGGTTCCCCCTTAATAACATCATTCATTTTTAGACATGTGACTTGTTATGCAGATAGATATGCTTTATGTCCAGCAAGCCACCATTGAGATGTATTCCATGGGATGTCCTGTGGGCGGAAAAGGAGACGAAGCTGTGTAGATTGATTTTCGGGTGATTTGTGGGGACAGGGTTGGAAGCCAGTTTTGAGCAGGTTAAATTGAACTCTGCGTGGAAGGACCTTCCTGGCTTCCTGGATCCGAGAGGCCGGCTGGGCTGAGTCCCAATGTGCCAAAGGTCCCTGGCGACACAGAGAACCCCACTCCTTTGCTCGGTGTGCTAACTTGCTTCTGGAACCTTTTTCTGAAGGGAAAGATGGGGTTTCATTTTCCGTTTTGAACGGGACTCAAAACTAGACACTAGGTGGTCCCCCAATAAGACAGCAGAGCTTCGCAACCTCGAGCAAGTTAGAGTTTCTGAACCCGAGTTTTCTCATCTTCAGAACAGATTTAATAACCTCCTGCAAAAAGTCAGGAGGAGGGTCCGAAAAAATGTCTGTGAAGTGCTTGACCAAGCTTAGTCAGTAGCTTATAGTCATTATTAGAAAGGTAGCCCCAGCTGCCGGGGGCCTTTTGTTGAGAAGGAACGCAGGGAGTGAAGTGTGAGTTTGAGGAGACGCTCTTGGGCTGCCACCAGAGAAGCCTCTGTCACCTTCCCTGAGGACATCTGGGTGCAGCTATCCAGAAGGCAGCTGGACAGACCAGTTTGGCATCCAGGAGAAAAGTCTGAAATGGACACAGAGACCGGCTCATCCACCGTCTGGGTCTGTGTGTGTGTGCTGGTCATAGCAGTGGGGTTTGGCCGGAAATCGGGGGGTCTGGGGGTGGACAGAATGGGAAGACAAGAGGGCCGAGGTCTCAGCCTGGGGGATGCCAGCATTCAGGGATGAGAGAGATGCAGACCGAGCAGGCGGTGCGATGGCAGAGGCGGCGATTAGAATGACGTGGCTTCAAGCCCGGGGCATGCTGGGATTGTGGCACCACCAGGAGCTGGTGACTGGCATGGGAGGGGCACGGGACAGGCAGGCCCCAGGGTCCAGATGGAGCCAGTCCTGCTGGTATCTTGTTTCTAGACTTTTGGCCTCCTGAGCTGTGAGAGAATATACTTCCGTTGATTTAAGCCCCGCAGTTTGTGGCCCTGGGGAACTCCTACAGAGGCTGCGTGAGAAACGCAGAAGCAACGATGCCCACTGAGCATGGGTGGCAAAGCCAGGCACCTCCGAGCAGGTATCTGAACGAATATGTCACCTGGGAAAAATGCGCCTACACGGAATAGCGGAAACCTTGATTTGCTAGGAAAGCCAGGAGGACGTTGGGCGTGTGTGGAGGTGTCTAGCTGTCCCTCAGATCCATTTTTACTCTGTTCTACCACTCAGAAAACAAAGCAGAGCAAAAGCAACAACATGCCTTGGCTGTCGGGGGGGTTGTTAATATTGTGACAAAGTCAGCCCGGTTCAAAGAGTGCTGCATTTTTCTCTCCTATGACTTGCTTTGAAAAAGGTAACAAGCTCTTAGGAAAACAAAGAGCTAGCCTCTAGCTCGGTGCCTGACGTCGTCCCTCATCTGAGGTCATTAACCTGCTTCCTGGGTATTGGCTTTTCCTTTACTTGAGCTTCCCTTATTAAAAAAAAAAATTTATATATATATATATATATATATATATAAATATATATGTGTGTGTGTGTGTGTGTATATATATATATATATATATATATATATATATATATATATATATAATCACAAGGAGTTCTGTGCAGGTCCTGGACTGAATACAACCAAATGGTATTAATAGATGAAAATGTTTTGTGGTTATTATTTTAATATGACTCAGTTGAAGAAATGAAAGTCCAGTCTACTTACAAATAGCCCATTAGTCTGTGGACTATAAAGGAAGAGGAAGTATTTACAAGCTTACAAAACACACGAGACAGGGCCATGGACTTCTAATATAACAACTTCCATTTTATTAGTTTATTAAAAGTCATGTCTTCGTGGACTAAAATAGCCCCTTGCATAGTGAGGAATTTTACTAAAGCAAGGGGCTTGTTTAAATAATTTAGACTATCTTCATATTTGGGAACAAATAGGCAATTAGCAGATTTTCAAAAGAATGGGTGGTTTCCATCCCATAGACCCACACAAACGAATTTGTGTTACGGTATAGGCCAATGCATTATCTAAGTAGAAATATTTTCTTAAGTGTTTATTTTGCACTAACGTAGAATTCAATGAGGGCCTCATAGGAGACCATGCTTAAGGGAACTTGGGGGCCTCTGCTATTTTTTGGAACGTTTCTGATATATCTGCTTATTCAGCTTCTCCTATGCATTTGAACATTTGCACTGTTTACCATGTCTTTCCATCTGTACCCCATACTGCAAGTTGTAGTTTTGAGTGAAGCACAAATGCTGTTTTCTGCAGCTGCTAAAGTAGACAGATTGTTTCTTTGTGGCAGAGGCTCTGGTGCAGGTTTGGACATCCTAAAATGTGGACTCTTCAGGTGCTGCTGAGCATTAGAGAGCAGTGTTCATACAGAGCTGTGGCGTTTCCCAAGTTTGCAATGGGTGTAAATGAAATAAGTACTGTCCTCCTTCCCGGTCAGGACCAGGAGAAAAAGGGTCACATTTTTCAGAGAAACACTGGTTGTTGTTTCTCATGCTGGTGTTGGGACCGTGACTTTCTCATCTGATCCTGATGGAGACCCCAGACCTGGAACTCTGGGCCAAGTCTGATGTTCCGTTATCACAACGTCACTCATCCTGGCCCAACACTCTCACTTTCCTGTTTTGATCAATGAGCCATTTTTTTAGGCAAAAGGTGTGAACTTCAAGAAAGATGGTTTAAACTAGCGCTACCCCACTGCAATTCCATCCAGACTCAACCACATCAGACGGTTTTGCACATACAAATCTGTGTGCATATATTCACTAATAAATATAGTGATTAATCCATAATCAGGGAACACAGGCAACTATCTGAGCTCTCCTAGTCATCCTGCCATAAGCCGCGTCCGTCTCCCTGGTGACAGAACCTGCAGCAGCCACAAGAAAGAGTGACACGCGATTGTTCTATTCCATCTATTAAAAGTAAAAACAGCTGTGTAGTTTGTATTCGACTCTCTTGGGTATAGTTTTCCGATCCTTAAAGCACCTTGGCTATATTTTTATTTCACGAAAAGGTTGAAGCTCAGAGATGCTCAGTAACTTACACAAAGAAACTGAAGTTTACACAAACATGGTTTTAAAAAGCCAGTGGTTTTTCTACTCTGCTGCTTCACCTCCCAGCTTTTCAAGCCAGTTTCACAATCTGCTCCCCCTGCCTCTGCTCCCCAAATTGTCCCTCTCAGTAGCAGGGACGGTCACGGGATTGAGGAGTAGCCTGTTTCATTTCCACGGACCTAACAGGCGTTAGGAGGGTTCCTGGGGCCAGGTCCACAGCCCCTTATCTGCCTCCCTCAAGGCGACACGCTTCCACCGTGTACCACGTTAGGGAACAGCTTCCCAGAGATCGGAGGCAGCCCTCCTTCACGGAATATATTAATACTTTTTTGCAGCACAACGTGTAAATACCACCACCTTATTAGTCTTGTGTTTTTCTAAAACGGTGAACATGTGAATTGATTTGTCTTTTCCCTCCCTCCCTTTCTTCTTCAAATATACATTCAGGAGTCCAGGTCTAGCAAAGACTCAAGGTGCAAGTTTTTGGGGGAGGCTGTCAAAGGGGTGGATTTAAGAAAGAGGAAGTGAATCATAGACCGTCTACCACGGCGTTCACTACCGCCATTTTGTTGGCTCTCATTCTGAGTCTATTTGGCCTTCACATATGGCAGATTTTCAAATGAGTTTCTTTAAGGAAGAAAAAAGACAGTGCAATATATGGGTTTATAAAGATGATGGCTATGTGTACCTCTCATGTTATTCTCAAGCTCACTGATGCATTTATCTCTCTGGGGAATTCTTTAAGGAAGAATTTAGCTCTTTTCATCAATGTATACTACATCAAAGTGGCTTGGAAATAGGCATCCCACAAATCCTTATGAAATAAATGACTGAAATAAAAGCTAGTGAAGCAGGAGAGGCATTACAAAATACCAGGCACATGAAGTCACACTTTTCTTGGTCACAGAAGGCTTACAAAGTGGCCTGTGGGTGCCATCACTGCGCACGCCTGCTCGCTGATAGCTCCGTGAGAGCACAGCTTCTCGCCGGTGGCAGCCGGCCTCCAAGCCTATGCTCAGCGAGGCATGGGAACAGGCTGACATTCTCTGGAAAGCTGAGTCAGAGGTCAGCTGGTGAAAGTCAAACTATTTCTCAAAATGTTTCTAAGGTCTGGGTATTTCTAACACTGGTTGAATATTTACTTGAACATTCATGAACAAAGACCAAGGGACAAAGGACACAAGTGCTTTGAGTTACTGGCAGATGCACTGAACACTTTGTGTGCTAATACTACAGCATGCATTTTCCAGTCCTGGCTTCTGAGGGAAGCTTGTCCATGGACAGCATATTCACCAGGGGAGGAAAAGACGATTGGCTTAATTACGGACCTGGGGCTGGAGTGTTTCCCACCCAACCACGCTCTGTGAGCCACAGCGCTTTTCTTCTCTAAGGACTTTGGAAAAGGAGAGCTGGTTGGTGAAAATCATTTTTGAACCATCTGAGAATATGGATTGTATACATACTCAATATTGCCACTGTGTTTCTCCCGAAATGAGGAAGCAAAGGTAACATAAGTATTACACATCTCAAAACAAGTTGGTCTTCTGTTCTGGATGTTTTACATGTGGTTAAAGGCATTTGAATGCAAGCTCAGGGAGTTTTCTACACTGTCTCACCAGTGGCTTTGTTTTCTGTAAAATCACCCTGCACTCAGGCCATTTTGCAATCACTTGCATAGCGTGTTGTAGAACCAGAAATTGAGAAGTAGGTGAAGTGTGCCTCCATAATCTTCCTCCTTCCTTCCTCTCCTCGCGCCTCCACATGGAGTCTTTCCTTCGCTTGCGGGTGCCCACATTGCTGAGTGTGCAGGAAATCCAGCTCTTATGGAAGGGAAATGGTCTACCTGCTAACGAAAACCCCAGTGTGCTGAGCGGCGGCCCGACCCCTCTTGCACAGTCAGGCACTGTTCCCACTCACCCTCCATACCTCTCAGCCGCCTGTGTCAGGACCTACTCTGCTCCCATCACCGCATTCATCTGAAGAGTTACGTGAGCCACGGTTTTAAGACGCGGCCCCTGTCTTGCTGGACTTTAGATTTAAGTAGGAAGAAGCACATGACACACATTAATACAGACTAAGTAATGAGGAAACAGGAAGTAGGGAGAGCAGAGGTTTTGGCCCAAGCAACCTGAGTTTGGGCTGCCGACCTGCGATGTTGGGTTAGCCAGTGTAAGAAAGGCACCTTTTTGTGTCACGCGGTGGCTAAGATCTTGCCTTGGGTATCAGACCCCTTGCAGATCCTGCCTCTATCATTTCCCCTCTTTGTGGACTTGGGCAAGTTGCATAATTTCTCTAAGCATCACTTTCCCCTTTTGCAAAAAGAGCTCATGTGAGCAGTGAGTAAGATAAACATTGAGCATGGTGCCTGGCACGATAGTTTCTATTTTAAAAAATTAAGACCTTTGACAAGGATAGCCTCTCAGCTACTACAGACATAAAATGGGAATAATAGTAATATCTAATCCACACGGTGGTATTGAATACAAAAGAGACTAAATGTTGATCGAGAACATTCTGTGTGTAAGTACATACACGAGTGACTAAACAGAAAGTCAGACAAATGAGAAGCAAATGGAAGTGTTTGAAAACACTGGAGATTGAAAGCCACCAGGAAGGGGACGAGAAGGGGCTCTGAAGTGGGATTATCACACTTTCTTAGGAATAGATGCTTTCAGAGGAGAGGCAACTTGATCACACTTATGCCCTAGGAAGAAGACCCCATCTGGGAGTTGTTTATCTCTTGGCCGGTCACAGTATTGAGACACTGGGGTATGGAGACATCAAGGAAGTTGCAGAGACAAAGTTTAAGTCCATGACTTCAATGAATGACCACTGTCATTTTTCTTTGCACGCAGCCTCTCAAAAGGACCTGAGTTAGGAAACTTGGCCCCCACTATAACTGGGTAGTTGCAGTGACCTGGCCAGGGTCTCACAGGGAGGGAGCCTGAACCAGGATTTGAACCAGAGCTGGCCTGCCACGGAGGTCTGTGCTCATCCCATGCACTCCCCCTCCCCCATCGACGTGGTGACAGCTCCCTCAGGCAGAAGGGGCACTTACTCTTCTTGGCCTCCTCCAGCTTGTCCTTGGCTCTTTTCTCTGCCTGAAGGAGCTGGTGGATTCCCTGGGACTGGCTGGTCATGGCGGCTGGCTTCAGGTCAAGTGGCTTCTGTGAAACCTGGGAAGGGACAGGTCTATTTATCCTTATGGAAATCACCACATAACTCAATTGTGGTGTCAACAGTGAATTCCAAACACAGCTGTTGGTTCCAAAATGGCCTGACTGGGTCAGAGAGTGGAGCCCCAAGGAGAGCCCAAGGCTAGAATCCAGAAAAACAAGTTCGGTCAAGGTGAGGAAGCTGAGAACCTATCGTTTCTGTGGATTTCAGTTCTCCTGTATGAAATACAAAGATTTGAATAGGGCGATGAGCCCCCTGATAAAAAAAAAATGAGGAGAATATCTGTTGGGAGATGAGCTTACCTCTTCTTCCAGAAAATATTGACATGGGTACTGAACTTTTCTTTCACGATATAAGAGCTTTCTCTGTTCTCTGTCTGTGCACTGCTAGTTATAGGCTTTTATTTGTTTCTGGAGATTCAGTGATCTGTTCGGGACAAATTTATTTACCTTTTGCTGGGAAGGAGGCTTTCTGGCTCTGAGCACAGGAGACAGGTGAGGGAGTTATTCTGTTTTCTCTCTTGGCCTCTGGTGACAGGAACAGAAGGATTTCTGGGGGGCCCTGCATGGCTCTCTAGTTACGCAATAGCTACAACTCCAGGGAGCTATTATGTGCTGACTGAACCAGCATAAGGGAAATTATAACTGTAAGTTTTGAGGTTAAACTAAAATCATGCATTTTAGGTTAGTCACTTCTTGCATTGGGTGTTGTCCTCAGATAGTTTAGCAAAACTCCATCGTTCTTGATTTGGCTCAGTCCAGTAGTGATTGGACAAGCGAGAACACTGGTCACAGTGGAGAATTATACGGTATCATTGAGATGTATCTAAAAGTTTTGTTTGGAATGCAAGTGTAATATTTTTTATTGATGGCCCAAGTTTTTATGGCCCTGAAATAATTTGAAGGCTGGAGTTTCATGTGTTGTTCTGTTCTAAACTGTACCTGTGTTGCCTTACCCGTGAACACCAGGTTCAATTTCTTTAGTGAGAGGCCCAGATTTAGAGATAATTGTGAAACAACCCAAAAGCTACATCTCGTAAGGCTTTGGTGGTAATTTTCCCCGAGAGTTCAGGGTCACCTCATTGTCCCTACCTACATCACAGCATCACCTCTAGCAAATCTTCCCCAAAGGAACAGCTTTTTTGTTTTTCCCCCCAAAGGATCACCTTTCTTTTTGCATTCATGTCAGGGCAGTTTATAGAATTTAACTTTTGTTGCAGCATTACAATAACGAGTACCACTGGAATAAATAGGTATGTGGACAGATGCGGCTCTTGGTGAACACTCGTTTTCACTGTAGGAGCAGATGTGTGAAGGCAGAGTGGAGAGCGGTTGCTTAGGGTCCGGCCAGCCCGTCTTAGGTGTCGATTCAGCACTTTCTTTACAAGCTGAGAGGAGGGGGGGTCACCCGTGATGTCTGTGAATGGCTGGGTGGAGATGGTCATAAGAAACCCGCTTTGATCTTGAGCCACCAGAATTTATTGAATACACCCTGTATGCATTTCCCCGAATGAGGCCCGATCTTGAATCGCACAGGAAAGGTAAGTGGGATGGAGTGAGGTTACTGGTGAGAAGCTAGCCAGGAAGGACCTTGGGAGAAGATGACTCTTCACACTGGGATAGAAAAATACAGTCTCCTAAAAGCTTGAAGAATCATGACTTTGCCACAGTTCCAACACAGGACATAATTAGATGCTCACCAGCACAGACCTCCACTGCTCGCCAGACGCACGCTCCTGGCTAAGCCACATCCTTCACTATGCGCTTTGTTTTTATTTCATGCTACTCCGTTGGTGTAAATAAGAGACTATGAATGTGCATGTGTTTTAAGTCATGTTAGAGGACAATATACATTCAAACATTTACTTAGAATAGAAAACATGTATTATGCGAAGTACAAGAGATGTTTAAGCATTCCTACCTACTACCATGTACGTCATTGGGCGTCTGTGAGTCATTTGAGGCTAATTGTACTAAAAAGCTCAGGGAAACGCTCAGAACTCGCCATGCCCGGGTGACGTTCTGGTCTGACAAAGCTCCCAGACACCTGTCAGAATCCTGTGTGCAAAGCCTGATGGTCGCTAGGACCACTTTTGAGGGACGTCGGTGCAATCCGGTAGTATGGTTGGGCCCTGTCTAAATGTCTGTAACTTGCAGTGAGCATATTGGTGGCAGAAAATTGTCTCACATTTCTTCCTTTAAGATCTCACACATGACTCAATTTTATGACAGAAGTTTTCCTTCTGTTCCTTTGTGTGAGGAAAGAGTTTTTCCTGCCACCTAGAAATTAAACCAAGTAATACACTCTTCTTTAATTCAAGTGGTATAAATCATTTCTGGTTTCTATTTTAATGGAATGTCACTCTATCAGAAACATCATTTATGAATACTATTATATTACTTATTATATTATAATACCATGTTGTCACTATTTTACTTTATTTTATTTTTATTTTTATTTTTATTGTTAGTTTCAGGTGTACAGAACAATGCAATAGTTACCCTTTTCACCCTCACCAGGTAACAACCCCCCTCTCCTCCTCTATTGCCCTCCCACCCCCGATATCATGCTTATCTATTACAACTCCATTGAATCCGTTCCCGCACTCTACTCCATGTCCCGAGGTTATATGTATATATAATTATAGTTGACATACAGTATTATTCATCATCAGTTTCAGAAATACAATGCGGTGGTCAGGCCTCTACATCAACTATGAAGTGGACTCCCCAAAAGGACATGGGTCCATCTGGCCCCCTAAGAAATGCTTACAACATTATTGATTGTATTCCTCGGACTGTCTTTTTCTATCCCTGCGGCCATATTACAATTACCCAATTGTATTGTCTCATCCCTTCCCCTTCTCCTTCATCCCCACCCCCTCCCGACTAGCAACCCTCAGTTCTTCCTCTGTGTCTCTGAGACTATCTCCATCCACTTCTCCCATCCATTCAGTTCCTTAGAATTGTCACTATTATTTTCAATGATAAATTGGGTATTTGATTATACATTTTTATAAAAATTCCGAGTAGAAAGGGATTTGGTTTTTCAGATGAGGTAGAGAAATGGATGCATTACTCCTAGTAACTTTATAAAAAAAGGAATTGTAGGAATCATATAGGGTATATTGAGATCTCTGCTCTTTGATTCCCTTTTCAAAATACTTTCACGTTTCTTTTTTTTACTAGTGCAAAATGCAAAAAGAAAAAAGTTACTAAAAAAAATGACAAAAATCTTAAAAACAAAATCCATGCCTTTAGAAAAGTTCCAGTTGTTGACTGTGAAAGGAATACAGTGAAACACCTCTGATTTTTCCTTGTACGTCTCTTGAAAAAAATGTAACATTGAACGTTTTAAATAGCTGCAATTATAAATTTAGCCGGTGTTCAGTGTGTGTCTTTTCTGGTTTCTCTTTCTGTGCAGTTTCGTTTCTGCTCAGACTTCCCTTCTCACCCATTCCATCACTTACGCCCACAGCAGCTAATCACTTGATCCTTCCTCCTCTGGCCTCCTTTGTGCTGGTTTAGCCCTTGAACCTGAACTAGAGTGAAAAGTAGGTTCATTCCTGGTTTCCTGAGGGCTTGGAGCTTCTAGGTATTTCAAAACCGTGAAGTTTAGTCTTCAAGGAAAACTCGAAAACTAGCTGATGCTTCTGTTATGCACGTCACTCATTCACTGTGGCTGGGCAGTGACGTATAAGGCAAGTATTAAGTCACATACTGAGCACCTTCTATTTTCTTACCTCTGTCACTAGGGAGGGAAGTAGTTCTCTTTATCCCTGCCTCATCCTCTGATTTCTCTCCCTCTCTCCCTCCCGTTGGTTAACCACGCTATTCGTTTTCTCTTCAACACCAAAAACCATCCT